ATTTATTTTAATTATTTATTAAAATAAAAATCACGTAGAAAAGAAAATATTTTAATGATATTTGTCGGAGAGATATGCTCCCAGTATACTTTTCGTATCGCGACGCTCCTGGAGCACAGCGTCACGTGAGCGAACGGCAGCTCAGCCGCCGAGTTTCGAGTAGTAGTGGGGATCGCCTCAGGAATCTGCCCGAAATGAGCAACTAAAACTGGAAACACAATATACACAGGCAATAGGCACAGGCAACAGGGAATAACGAGCCGTCCAATCAGAGCTTTGGGGTATATAAGTTCGATATTATATCCCAGAGCTCTGATTGAACGGCTCGTTATTCCCTGTTGCCTGTGCCTATTGCCTGTGTCTATTGTGTTTCCAGCTTAATTCCGAGCATTGGTCTAGGGTGTAACTTCTAGGCGGTTAGTCCGGATCTACAATAGGTGTTTTATGCCTTATGCCGTAAGAAACTGACCAATTACAGTCAAATCCGAGAAGAATAAGCGACTGTGATTCACCCATTTCTTATGGCTTAAGGCTTAAAACCCTATTGTAGATCCGGGGTTAGGCTCCAAGCTGGTAGAATATGATACTTTTTTTTATTCGGGACGACGTAGCCGCCCCGAACCTAAGCATAAAGTGGGGAGCACAGACTCTTGCATAACGCATAACACATGAGGCATAAGAAATTGAACCAACCAGAGTTCTCTATTACATGGAAGGGAAAGAAACGGAGAACTTCGATTGGTACATATTCTTATGCATTACGTGTTATGCGTTATGCAAGAGTTTGTGCTCCCCGCTTTACTGTCTACACACCCCACTGTCCACATGGATTAAAAATATTCCAAGCGGACACTGTCTAAGCACCTAGCAATGCACATGCAATGAGTCTCTGTAACTGCACTGTAAAGGCCGCAGCACACAGTTTTGCATAACGCATAACGCATAGTGCATAAGCGAATCAACTAATCAGAATCTTTCCTTTCCTCTTGTTCCATGAAAAAGAAGAATTTTGATTGGTTGATTCCTTTATGCACTATGCATTAGGCGTTAGGCGAGAGTGTGTGCTGCGGCTTTAAGTCCGGATCTACAATAGAGTTTTAAGCCTTAAGCCATAAGAAATGGGCGAATCACAGTCGTTTATTCTTCTCGGATTCGACTGTAATTGGTCAATTTCTTATGGCTTAAGGCTTAAAACACCTATTGTAGATCCGGGGTAAAGGGTCCTCTACATAGAAGTCGTAGACGGTCGTGGAGTCTTAAGTCGTAGAAAATTAACCAATCACAGTAGAATACGAGAAGAATACTCGACTATGATTGGTCAATTTTCTACGACTTAAGATCTTACGACCGCTACGACTTCTATTGTAG